GCCTTTCTGATATACCCCATCGAAATGTAATTCTTTAGGAACGCAGTATAATTTTGACAGCTCAGCTGAATGTAAGCGGAAACAACCATCCATGTGTCATTTTTCCAGAGTATCCAAATCTAAACCACACATATACAGTCTTGGACAACCATTGCTGACAGGATGAAGTTCTTGACAGGTGTTCAACGTTAACACCAACTGCAGCTGTGTACCAACATGTGTCATTCGACTGCAGCTTTAAGTTCCAAAATGAAGTATATTCATGTTACTTCGGTTTGTATTTTACGCTCTTGTAACAAAATATCCCCACTAATACACTTTCATCATTATTTATCTCACAAAGGCGACCATCCTTGCCGTAAAAGGCGACTATGCTTGTCGTAAGAGGCGACTAACGGGATCGGGTGGTCAGGCTCGCTGACTTGGTTGATGCATGTCATCGATCCCAATTGCGTGGATCAGTGCACATGATGTCAACCACTCGATTGTCTGGTCAAGACTCGATTATTTACAGACCGCTGCCATATAGCTGGAATAAAACTGAGCGCGGCGTTAAACAACAGACAAGCAAACAAACAAACACAAAAGTTAGTTGTCTTAAATGATCTGCCTTGTCAAGTATATATTTCTTTGTTTAACGCAGCGTGCAAGACATTTGAATATAAACTGCTGAGCAAAAGAGAGTATATACACTTGAAAACAGGATTTGACTGAAAAATGACAAACGTTATCAAAACGTTACATGGTTGCAAGGCGTCGCCGGAACAATGCAAACTTGAGGTCCAATACAGAACTATGATACCCTTATTAAATACAGCACCATCGAATAACCATTTCTTGTTGCTTTATTTTAAGCCACCGTCAAACATGGGTGTATACTTTCTTTTGCCCGGTAGTTTACTTCGTAAATAGACCGCCCTGAGAGCGGAAGGTCCGGGGTTCGACCCCCGGCCGCGTCATACAAAAAGACGTTAAAAGATTGTACTTGTTGTTACCCTGTCTGTCGCTCCGCATTAAGGGGCTAAAAGAAGGACTGGTCGGCTCGGAGTCAGTATACTGTGTGTATGGGGTATTCATGTTAAACTGCGGCATGGTATCTCAGTGAGCTAGCACTATAACACGGCATCAGTCCGGACTAGTACAAGCTGCCACACAAACACATACACGTGCATGCACGTCGCTATATAAGTGCAATAATCTTGGACGCGACGTTAAACCCAATTTCGCCTCACCTCACTTCGTAAATAGTTATTATATAATCCAAGGTGATTACCAGTAATAGATCAGGGAGTAAGTGATCATGAGGAACCAGTGAAGACACTGCATTAACATCATACATAATGTATACATAATCTCGTTTAGGTTTTGCCTTGTTTTCCTGTTTCCGCAACAGGTTTTTTCGATTATCAAACTTCGAGTCACCTGAGTCAACCGATGTAACCACATATTTGGCAAACAGGGTTGACTAGATTCAACCAGTATTGACCAAGCATAACCTTGGGCAGTATCCGAATTGAAACGTATAAAATGCAACCTTAGATGTAATCTAAATTGCACAACACAACAGCCATATGTATTTCTATAACACAAAGCTGTGACAGGTGAACAAGTTCTGACAAAGCTGTCTTTGTATCTGTTTTAGGGGGCACGGGCGGCCCAGTCGTCCAAAGCGCCGCGATTCGCTGTGCAGAGTTGCGTCCCTTGGCACGCCAGAAACCTATGATTGTGGGTTCGAATCCCGGTTCACCCCGATTATGTTTGTCAGCACCATACCCGTGCTCGTGGGTTTCACCGAAGTGGTAAACGTCTGAGACCTGCATCACTTCAGGCTTTCCTCCCACATTAAGCTGACACGTCGTGATATAACTGGAATACTGTTAAAAGCGGCGTTAAACCCAACTCACTCACTCAATTGTATCTGTTTTATACATGAAAAACGACAAGAAGGGTCAAAATAACGCGAAGTACATCAATCCTAGATGCAAAATCATCATCAAAGCTTGAAGTGACAGAGAAGTTCATTATTCATTCGAAACCGAAACAACCGAAATTTAAATTTTAATTTTAATGACACATCATCTTCCCGAGGCAAGGGAGTTAATTGACTTAGTCTAATTTCCATCCTTGCCGAACTAGGCTGGAATTATGTAGTTATATTATGGCTGGACTAACGAGTCTATGCATAGACCAATCAAAACGAATTTACGTCATCGATGACGTCACTTGGAGGTTGCTAAGCGGAGTACCGCACCCCAAGGGTTCAGTAGGTCGACCCAAGTATGACGTAAATAAGCTAACATGTGCTAAGATTGGTCAACCAAGGATAACTTGAGTTGTACGTTAGTCAACACGGGTTCATCTGGTTTTGAAATCGAACGCAAGCACTGATTTGAAATACGAATATTATTTCATTTGTACGATTTCATCGAGAGAGCACCGCCCCTTTCGTTGTATTAGTGAGATCCTTTAACAATTGTTCAGAATATAAGATAGTACCATTAAATTTAAAAGTCAATGCCTTAGGGTTATTCCTGTCATATGAGTGAGTGAGTATGGTTTTACGCTGCTTTTAGCAATATTCCAGCAATATCACGGCGGGGGACACCAGAAATGGGCTTCACACATTGTACCCATGTCGGGAATCGAACCCGGGTCTTCGGCGTGACGAGCGAACGCTTTAACCACTTGGCTACCCGACCGTTAAGTTGTATTATAACTGCGAACAAATCAGTTTAGACTGCCAACAGGTGTTTACGCACTGTGGGGACTACGGCAAAATACGACAGCATCCAGAAACAGCTGTTACACGATCCGCAAGGAATCATGGCCCATATGTTATATGATAGCAATCTATGTGCGAGATAGAACTTTGTTACCTAGGAACCACTGTCCTAGGGCTTTAGCATCAGGATCCATTGTCCGAGGACATTACTTAGCTGGGACCATTGTCCCGCGACATTAGTGGCAGGAACCATTGTCCTGTGATATATGCATTAGGAACCATTGCCCTGTGACATTAGTGTCAGGTACCATTGCCCTGTGATATTAGTGTCAGGAACCATTGTCCTGTGATATTAGTGTCAGGAACCATTGTCCTGTGATATTAGTGTCAGGAACCATTGTCCTGTGATATTAGTGTCAGGAACCATTGTCCTGGGATATTAGTGTCAGGAACCATTGTCCTGTGATATTAGTGTCAGGAACCATTGTCCTGTGATATTAGTGTCAGGAACCATTGTTCTGTGATATTAGTGTCAGGAACCATTGTCCTGTGATATTAGTGTCAGGAACCATTGTCCTGGGATATTAGTGTCAGGAACCATTGTCCTGTGATATTAGTGTCAGGAACCATTGTCCTGTGATATTAGTGTCAGGAACCATTGTCCTGGGATATTAGTGTCAGGAACCATTGTCCTGTGATATTAGTGTCAGGTACCATTGTCCTGTGATATTAGTGTCAGGAACCATTGTCCTGTGATATTAGTGTCAGGAACCACTGTTCTGTGATATTAGTGTCAGGAACCATTGTCCTGTGATATTAGTGTCAGGAACCATTGTCCTGTGATATTAGTGTCAGGAACCATTGTCCTTTGATATTAGTATCAGGGGCCATTGTCCTGTGACATTAGTGTCAGGTACCATTGTCCTGTGACATTAGTGTCAGGAACAATTATTCTGTGACATTAGGATCAGGAAATGTCCTCTGACATTAGCATCAGGAACCACTGTCCCAAGACATTAGTTACCAGGAACCATTGTCCTAGGACAATAGAACAGAGGAACCATTGTCCTAGGACTTTATTAACCAGGAACCATTATTCTTACAGAACTATGAGAACGTTTACAGCCGTCAAACAGCATTCTACGATCCGACACTAATACTCCGCGTGATGCTGCAAGCTAAATATTTCATCATATGATACCAGAACTGTTGCACATACTGAGTGTCTGCACTTAGCAATATTCCAGCTGTATGGCGGCGACCTGCAAATCATAATCCAGCGTCAGCCAGACAACCCAGTGATTGATATTGTGAGCACGTATCACGCCATCGAGCCTGACCACCCGATCCATAAAGTCGTCCATCCGGAATCCCCACACCGTCCATACTTACAGTGAGTGAGTGAGTGAGTGAGTGAGAATGGTTTTACGCCGCTTCTAGCAATATTCCAGCAATATCACAGCGGGGGTCACCAGAAATGGGCTTCACACATTGTACCCATGTCGGGAATCGAACCCGGGTCTTCGGCGTGACGAGCGAACACCTTAACCACAAGGCTACCCGACCGCCCCATTCATGCTTACATGTTACACTCAAGGAGTAAGCAAGTGTGTACATGAATTGATTTTTTGTATCACTTTTAGCAATATTCCGGCAATGGAATACCAGTAACGGGCTCAATATACTGAATCGATATGGAAAATCGAACACAGGTCTTTGGCATATCAAGTTAACGCTTTAACCACAAGGGCACTACAATTAAAACTAGAAAAAGCATCGCACATTAGATAAGGTAAATAAGATAAAAACTATATGGCTCACTAAATTGAGTATTGACTTGGTGCAGACAAACCAAGGATCATAAGCTGAGCGAACTTTGGGTTCGAACCCACTAACGGATGAAACCATGCACAGTGAATTGCCTCAACACTGAGTCACTGGTGTCACCTTGCGTCTTTGTTTTTAACAGAGTGAGTGTTGTTTTATGTTGCTTGTAACACTATTCAGAAATATCACACAGGGGGACACGTAGAGTGTATTAATAAATATTAGAACTCAAGTGCAAATTGCAATCGCCCAAACACTATGCTATTTTGGGAATTATGTTTTTAATATACCAGTGAGATGCGTCAGCCTATGCCCCACCCATATTTCTACCTGCACGATTTGAAGAACGACCACACCTACCCGTGTGTCTCCAGATCGTGCAGTAGCGTGGTGCCACAGCTAAACATGGCTCCACCTTTCGTCGGGGGATATAAGAGAAAGAAAGGGGAACTCGGCAGGCATATGGCACTGTTTTACAACGGGAACAGTTTACCATTTGATCCATACCAACCACGTGGTTAGGCCAGCAGACGTGAATCAGAGAGTAAGCAGACGATTTCCTGTGGTTTCCCGCGCTAACGGGAATCTCATTTTGTTGGCAGCTAGTGAACAGCGAAGATGATGGCGTTGTGGCCAGTGGTTATTTTGGCGGGATTCTTCCCATTTCTCGAATCCAAGACCTTGACACAACTCGAGACAAACAATTTAAATCGCTTTCTGGGTGAAGTTGCTCGATGTGCTCGTGTACCGGCTATATCGATGTCCTTGGTGAGAGATGGACAAATTGTATACACGAATGGCTTTGGCACCTCCAACAAACAGAGGCAGGAATCGGCCTCCTCCAAGACAGTGTTCTGTCTAGGAGACATCACCCAGACTTTTACTGCAACTCTTTTGGCAAAGCTGCTGGATGAACATCAAAAGTAAGTACACTCGAATCCCGTTATCTCGAATGTACTCTCGAACATATTCTCCTCATTATATAAATACATATACTTTGCCCGCTTATCTCGAATTCGAGGTTAAATAATACAGGGCTATCAATTGGTTATGTCGAGAATCCTAAAAATGTTTTGTTTATCTGTGGTCTAAATTCATTGAAATTCAATATAGTAAAACCTCGTTAACTCGAAGCTGACATCGCATGTGTGACAAGTGACTTGTCGCTACAATCGTCATAAACTATATAGGCTAATATTGTCCAAAGAGTTCTATCAGGGCCATAGTGATATTGTCTTAAAGTTTCTGCCGAGTTAACGTTGTAACGCAACGTGTTTAAGTCAAGTTCGCACGGTAATTCAACTGCATGAAATTCCGTTTCAATGTTTCGTAAGTGCAGACTACTTCCGTGGTCTAGTGGATAGAGCGTCTGCCCAGAGAGCAGAAGGTTGCCCGATCCCCGACCAAGTCGTACCATAAGACGTTACAATAAAGTATTTGTTGTTACCCTGCCTGGCACCCCAGACTAAAGGGAATAGAACAATGACACATCGGCTCGGAGTCGGTATAATGTGTGAGTGTGTGAGGTATTCAATAAAAACTGCGGTTTAATTCATTAGTCCTGACTGGTACTTGCCGCCACACACAAACACACACACACACACACACACACACACACACACACACACACACACACACACACACACACACATATACTCATCGCCAAATAAAACGCGAACCATAGAAACATACAGAGAAGTGTGTACGTTGAGAAGACATGTTTCCAATATCTACCACTTAATGACAAAACTAACAATCAGTCAAGTGTTAACGCAGTCTCTTTATTCTTATCACGATATGCTGCAAGTGATTTCCAAACTTTACACGTTTATCCTGCACGAGACAAATGGTCATGGGTCTATGACGTCACATGTATGTTATACATGTATGTATACCAGTATGTTCGTTTGTGCGTCGAACCAATATGATATCTCTTGAATATGAGTAATTCTTCATACATTAACCAACATGTATGTATACCAGTATGTTCGTTTGTGCGTCGAACCAATATGATATCCCTTGAATATGAGTAATTCTTCATACATTAACCAGCATGTATGTATACCAGTATGTTCGTTTGTGCGTCGAACCAATATAATATCTCTTGAATATGAGTAATTCTTCATACATTAACCAGCATGTATGTATACCAGTATGTTCGTTTGTGCGTCGAACCAATATGATTTCTCTTGAATATGAGTAATTCTTCATACATTAACCAGCATGTATGGTATTCGCGTTTCTTTTGTCTGTGAGTATATATATTTGTAGCGACAGAGCGTTTCTTTCCCAAATATGTCCATGCGGCACCGCCTGGACTGTATGTGACCTGTTTCACCTCAAAACTATTGTTGCTCTGGACATACTGTAGTTGTATATGCTTTTAGCTCACCTTACATGCAAACTAGCTCAATCATGTCGGTAAGTGACGTTTTGATAAAATTCCATGTACCCCATTTCAGCAGTGTACCACTAGACAAAATATGCCTGTCGTCATGGCAACAAATATTTGCCGATCTCTCCTTACAGCGAAACGACGTCGCTTAGTGTATATTAACATTGAGTTTGATGTACGTGTAACCTTGAGCTCACCTGGCAATATGGCGATAAACAAACGCTTCGCATGAAATCTCCTTTTATTTTGAAATTGTTGCAAATGATAAACATGGCGGTTGGATAAATTCGCTGTAGTTTATCCCTCACCATGTTTTGACGTACTCTCAGTCTTGTGTACCCAGGGGGGCACGGGTGGCCTAGTCGTCCAAGGCGCCGCGATTCGCTGTGCAGAGTTGCGTCCCTTGGGCACGCCTGAAACCTATGATTGTGGATTCAAATCCGGTTCGCCCCGATTATGTTTCTAGGTTTGTCGGCACCATACCGGTATGAGACCTGCATCACTTCGGTCTGTCCTCCCACATTAAGCTGACACGCCGTATTATAACTGGAATACTGTTAAAAGCGGCGTTAAATCCAACTCACTCACTTACTCACTGGTGGACCCAGAGCCAACATCGACGGCTAAACCTACAAGCCACACAGCGGAACGGGTGATCCAATGGGCTAAGCTATGGTACACTGTGCTGAGTACCTTAGATGATAACAAGATGTGCTGGTCGGGGTTCGAACCTGATAATGACATTTGTTTTTTAGGACTATACCTGAGCTCGTGGGTTTTACCAAAGCGTTAAACGTCTTAAGGGATTTCTAAAACAATTTGGAATTAAAAACGTTATTTTTCGTATACAAATCCTACTCTTGGTGGGATGAATATGGACACGTACATTTTGTGTCATTTTACAAATTATGCTGATTTAGGAGTAAAATATCTTTATTATTTAACTCTAAAATGACATTCGACAGACACGTGCCTATAACGATGGCCATCTGGCGAAACGCGAGGTTTCAAATATGGCGCCCAAATGCAATAGCAAAAGTCGACATTCTGCCAGATCCATATCAACATGAAGCAAAACAGATGTAGGAAATAAGTCAAAGTCCTCATGTCAAACATGTTTGCAAAGTGAAAAGAAACCATTGCGTGTACAGTTAAATATTTGAAACACTTAAATAAAGGCGGCAAAACCCTTACCTCTAATAACAACCACGGGAGTTATACGAAATGGACCCCAGGCAGTGAAGCGATCCCCTTATAAACAATATGTGCGTCATACATGTATGTCACTGAATAAGAAAACACGAGTTCTTGCTTAAATAATTTCTATGATCATAATGAATCTCTGTCAAAAGCAGAATGAATGATTATCAGATATTAACGATACCAGCTATAAACGAGTCAGAAAAACGACTGAATCTTTAAATAAAACACGTCAACGCCTAAGAACAACCAGTCTCGGTCTTGCACTTAACTGTATAACGAGTTCAATGTATGCTCAATTTGACTGGATGTAGAACTGGTGTTTTTTGCGCCAACTCTTTATCAAATATAGGCCACCTGTCATTGACATATATGTTGTTTTATATTTAAGATAAGGTAACGCCCGGGGGTACACGATGACGAATGTAACTTATCAGGAAGTGTGTGAACCTACACTTTCTCATTTACTTATTTAAATTGCTAAATACATCGAAAGACCGACCCGCGCTTGTTATGATAGTACGTTTCACAACAATCTTTATATTTAATTGGTCTTTTCGAACGCTGTGACAACGTGTGCCTTGAGATTCAACTGTTACAGATCCACAAACAGCATCTGTATTTGGTGTCAGAATTGTTACAATATTTTATTTCCACAAAAAATATAATTCGGTAAGAATGAAAGCCTGACACGCACTTAAACCAATATTAGTCCAAATGGTCGTTACCTAAGCTATAGACACCCCAAGACTACTGCCACCTGTTCCCTTAAGCCACAAAATTCATTACACATGTATTCCTTTGATATACTTTGGTAAAATCTGCAGATTCACAGACTGAAGATAGGGTGTGTAGCATACCTCACATGAATACCTTTGATCTGTAATCGGCCAATGATATCTAGCGTGGATCTGTTTTTCTTGCTTGGGTGTGAAAAGAAGAGGGGCTCTGAGGTCGCGCACCTGTTGCAAATGACCTCTGACCTTTCACTGGTATGGCTTCGAAGGAATGTATTGTTATAACCTATTTTGGATCTCTATCAGCGTTTGCAGGATGCCTGATATATTTGATGAATATATAAGCATCATCTCTTTGAATTGACAGGTTGCAGAAACAGGACAACCGGGCAAAACTGAATTCAGTTTGATTTGTCGAAGCAACTATACCGAGATTATGCATAAATTATAATATATTATTTTAGATTTTATATTAGATTTTAGAATGAAAACTCTTCACTGGTTCCTGACTTACTCGCTGATTTATTACCGGTAATCACCTTCGATTATATAATAACTATTTACGAAGTAAATTGCCTGGCAAAAGTAAGTTTGCACCCATGTTTGATGGTGGCTAAAAATGAAACAAACAAGAAAAGGTTATTTGTGGTTGCTGTATTTGATACGTGTGTCATCGTTGTGTTTTGAATCTTAAGTTTTTTTCTGCGACTGTTTTCAGCATAGTAATGTTTTGATGACCTTTGTACTTTCAATTTACTTTCTTTTGCCCGACAGAATACTTTTTGAAGCTTTGACCAATATGTCGTCAATGAATAATGTTAAATTGTAATTAATCGATAGGTTTCTATACATTTTAGATCTTTCGCTGTTTTCAATAGAAGGATTACGGAGATATCGACTTCTTCTCCATTCAAACCTATATCAGGGAGACTACACGAAGAGGTCTCCCTGCCTATATTATGAAAGCTTATATTTGAACATATTTTACACCCACAGGCGATTATATCACGTCTTCCTACTTTACGAGAGGGGCATGTTTTTGTGATTTGTTTATTGGTAACCATGGCAATTTAGGTGTATTCCACATGGACGTGGATCTTGAAGATCAGCTTGCCAACAATGCGTCAGTTTTGTGTTGTGCTAACAACTTTGTGTTGGGTAAGGCACTCCGACCTTTCACGATTCCTTATACACATGATATTGTCACATTCTTCTACTGGAGCACCTCTCAGATAGACACGGGGGAGGGGCTACTCTATCGAGGGGTGAAGGCGTGTGGTAATGTGTGTGTGTGTGGAGGGGTCCAATTTGGTGTGGGTGGAGGTGTGTCGTGATACGCGCGTGTGTATTGGTGTGTATATGTGGGGTGGAGGGGGTCGGTTTGGGGGTGAGTCACGGTATATCTGCGCTTGCGTGCGTGTGTTGGGGTGGGTGTGGTGGAAGGGGTCGTGTTTTTGGTGGGGTGATGGGTTGCGGTTGGGGTGGGGTGGTTGAGAGTGAGTGAAAGTGTATTGTGATACGCTTGCGGGGATGGGGTGGGGGCGTTGTCGACGCATAGATGCTTCTAGTACTAAAATCCCTCTGTGAACAA